AGGAGGTGTGTGTGTGTGTGTGTGTGTTATAGGGAAGTTTAAGGACTTCTATTTCTTTCAATATCCACAACAAAAATTCATTAAACTATCCATATGGCTTGATGAGTGTCTGCCTTGTTCTGAATAATGCTAATTATTATCCCTCACTTGACACTGTCTCATTTTTAACCTGTTAGACTTGGGACAGGAGCAAGGTAAAGAAAAAGCCCTGTTATCCAGCATTTTACTAAATGGCTTTTCTATTAACTGGAATCTCAGGCCGGCTGGATGGACACAAGTTGGGGGAAAGCTCACATGCGCCACCACTCACCACCCTGTACTACCGCTGCTCCATGTGTGGCCAGTGCCACCCCCACCTATAGTAGGTGTTTGACTTCCAGTGTTGCTGGGTTTTTGGGTGTAGCCATGTTGATCTAAGGCAGGGGTTAGCAACCTGTGGCATGCTGCATGCTTTTGCTTGGCACGCAGACTGCTTCCCATGGGGCAGGAAGAGCCGTGCCCAGATGGAGCAGCACGCGGCTGCCTGGGATCCCAGCCAGGTAAGAGCCCCTTGGGCCCCAGACCCAGCCTGGCACCACCACTGGCCCCAGCTCTGGCCCAGTGCTGCCCCCAGGCCGGGAGCTATCAGCACCCTGAAGGCCCCAGCCCCAACCCCCACCACTGCCGGCAGGCCCCCGCCCTGCCTGAGCCTGGCCCCAGCTGCAGCCACCGCAGCTGCCAGCCCCTGCCCAGTGACACTGCCGGGCTGGGCTGGGGCCTGCACAGGCCCCGGCCCCATCACAGCGCTGCCTACTGCCCCGGCCCGGCAGCAGCACTGTGCTGGGGCTGGCGGCAGTGGGGAGGGATGGGCCTGCCAGCAGCTGGTACCACGGCCACGGCTGGGGCCTGGCCCAGTGTGGCCCCAGCTGGCTGCTGGGGTGGTTGGCAGCACCGGGATGGGACCAGGGCCTGAGCGGGCTCAGATCAGCTAGGACTGCGCCAGGCCGGGCCCAGGCCCAGGCCCAGGCCCCAGCCGTGGTACCAGCTGCCAGCGGGCCTGGCCCCAGCCCTCACCACTGCCGCTGCCAGCCCCAGCACAGTGCTGCTGCTGGGCCGGGGCCAACAGCAGTGTGGGGATGGGGCCAGGGCCCATATGGGCCCTGGCCCCTTCTCAGCACTGCCAACGGCTCTAGTCACGTGCTGCTGGCGGGCCCCAGCCCTGTGCAGGCCCAGCCCCAGCTGCCACCCCCGCCGCTGGTGCCTGCCCCAGCCCTGCGTGGCCCCGGCCTCAGCCTAGTGCTGCCACAGGCCTCATCCCGGCGCTGGTGACAGCCCGGCTGCAGTGGGGCCCAGCCCTGTGCTGCCGGTGGGCCCTGGCCCCAGCCCCAGCCCCGCGCTGCCCACAGCTAGGCTCCAGCCCCAGCCCCCTTTTGCCTGTGGGCCCTGGCCTCGGCCCCATGCTGCCCATGGCCTCGGCCCCAACAGGCACAGTGCCGGCACCTCCTGTCTCCCTAGAGCCCAGGGCCAGGAGACAGCTGGGGCCAGGAGACAGCAGCTGTTTGCAGTCTTCCAGCTGCAGCTGGTCCAGGTTCTGGGTAGCTGCTGATAGCCATGGAGCCTGGGCTGGGGGGCAAGGGGCACAAACAGGGCATCCTGCCATGTAACCCATGCCCTTGTTTTGTTTTTCTGGCAGGCCAGCACTCGAGCACCTTCCAAGGTAAGCACTGTGGGTTTTTTCAGCACTCCGGCCAAAAAACGTTGCCTACCCCTGCTATAAATATGTAGTCTCTGAAGCATGACCAAGAATCTAAGACTAAAGTATTTTATGAGGAACCCAATGACAAACATTGAGGGGTGTGTGTATGACCCAAGTAAGAGTCTGACACAGAAACATGAAAGCCAGCTGATTAACCCAATTGGCTGGAATGACAGTCTAAAAAGAGGCTTAAAATCATGGGGTTTTTGTTTTATACAATTATGTGACTCCGCACACCAGATCTTTGTAACCTTAATCTACAAAGATACAAATAATGTGCTTTTTGTTTTCTGAGTATGAAAACATGAAGTCTATGAAAAAAAACAACAAATTAATACTACAAATTAACATTTGAAACTCACTTGTCCTCAGTCTTTCCTCCAAGACAATATATCATCCCATGGTTTGAGACTGTAGCATGGCCATATACTTTGATTGGAAGTTTTTTGACTTCATTCCATTTTATTGCCCTGGATTTAGAAGATCATAGCATTAAGACAATTCCAATTAACAAAAGCATTTAGACTTCCTTAGTGAACAAATGTCAACATACACAGGGTCATAGCACAATACTGAATCTAGAGATTCCTCTGTTTGAAGGTCCTTGCCTGCAATTACATAGATTTTGCCATCTGCCTCTCCCAGTCCAAAGAGACACCTGGCTGAAGGCAGTGGAGGAAGTCCGACCCATTCACCAGCAACGCTATCCAGCTGCAAGATCAGACAGAGTAGGAAGTGTTAGGAAAGATGAGCAAGAACCCACGCACTAAAAGCAGCTTTAAAACCTCAAATTTAGATGCTTCAGGTTTATCAACCTTCCCAACATATTTGTTATAAATGTCTTCCCATTAGTTCATCTGATGTGTGGCTACATCTCCTTTGAATCCCTCAAGAACTAAGGACTCTATACAATTGCCACCATCTCTTCCCCTCCCTTCATTCCCTCTCGTCTTTTTTTCCTTTATTGCTTTTTTGTGTTTGGTTTTCAGCCCTTAATCTTCATTTTGTTTTCTTTAAAGTTCCCCCTCTATTGGTGAATCGCACCATGCACCAGAAGACAATTTTTGGACGGATGAACAACTGGTAGCTTTGAGGGGCTAAATGATATTTTTCCTCAGCTGAACTGAAATATGTAGGACAAAGGAAAGAGACTGGCTACTGTCCGAGACATATTATGCATATGACCCACTTGCACAGCTTAGCTGCATTAGGAGTAATACAAATAAAAGGAGGAAGGTGTGCAGCTTTCAAGATTTAATAAAGCTCCACGAGTACACTTCCACTAGACACAGGATGGACCTGAGATTAGAGACCTTTTCCTGGACCCAAATCCCTCTTTTAATCAATACAGGGATTGCTCGACTAGTTTATAGGTTGTTTGTATGGACAGATGTACTGTCTGTGTGTGAAGACTCTTGAGAAGCATCAAAATAGAACTACAGAAAGTTATGCATTTAGGTCTGACTAGTGCACTGTCATGTCTAGGGAGTTCCATAATCCACATCCAGTTTCAGCTCACATAAAACTTCGTCTCTAGAATTTACTAATTCACCCTTGTTGGTCAAAAAATGTTACTGCTGCAGTAGGACTTGTGAGTTCATGGACACACACTACCACCATAGCTATGGCCAGCCCAGGGTGATCTTGAATTGAAGACAGAAATGTCCTTGGATCCTACATATCATAGATTAGAGCATACTCAGGGAATCAGCTCTGAGGCAGATGTGGGGAATATCTACTCTCTCACTTTTCTGGAGCAATACATGAGTAAGCACATTTTTCTTGATAGTCAATTTGTCCCAAGTTGTCAAGCACTAAATGAAGTGTTAAGGACAGTCAGATGGAAGTGTGAAAAAGAACTTAGGAAGAGTGGGAGTGCAGCTACCCCATTAACAGTAAGAAAGAAACAGCTATCTAGCTGGTAGGGTAGAAAAGGAGAAATGTTTTAGCAGTTGATAGGTTAGTGGGGAGCAGGAAATGATTTAGGGCATGGATCAGGGAGAGATGTATTACATTGATCAATCTCAGTCTAAGTACATCAAAAGACTACCCCTAATGGAATTCTAGCCTGATAATGTAGTTACTTAATTCTATAATAAATTAATTCCTGGAACCAATCACAACTAGATTTTTGTAGCAAGTTTTGAACTTTATTTATTATTACTTTATAACTACATAAGAAAATTAAAACTGTGCTAATATAATCACTCTCTAGCAAACTGATAGCAGTCTTCCATATTTATACCATGTTTATTTTACTAAATACGTCTAAATACCAGGCCAATCTATAGTTTATCCATTTATGAAATATCTACAATAAATCACTATTTTAAAAACCTGCCAAGAACATTAAAATTCTATCATTGATTATTACCTGTCTGTGTGGAGTATAGAAAAGAAATCTAGTCTTGTATTTCTTAGGATTTACCCCATAGCATATTATACCCATCATGAAATAGTTGTAATGCCAACAGAAAAAATGTAAAATTACGCATCCAAAAACACTACGGCAGAAGGTAAGTATTCCTACAGAAGGATTGTTTTTGCTAATCTGATCATAGTGGTATCACTGCAGTTTAGAGTAAGCCAGTGTTAACTATATGTATATGGATTTAAGTACATAGGCATTCACCATACACCAACAACAGTATTTGGTATAACATGGCAGATATCAAAACTACTTCAAATTTTAAAACTTTACAAATCAGCTACCCTAATATATGGTATGAATCTTAAACAAAAGAAAACATTTAATTTGTTAGGACACTAAGAGGCAGATTTTTAAACCTATTTAGGTGCCTGGGTGCACATGGGCACATACAGGCATTTGCAAAAGCCCTTATATGCCCAACTGTGATTGACATCTATGGTAGCTGGGTGCACAGGCACCTTTGGACATTCTACTAGGTGCCTATCTGTATTTTTAGCCACCCAAATGACACTAAACACCTGGCCCTGAACAACCAAATATTTAGTAGATAAAAAACACATTAACTATTTTTTCTGAGTTCTCATCAAAGGATACTGAAAGGTACAAAGAACATGCAATTCCCGCAAGCTTCTGTAGGAATAGCTGGCAGTCAGTAGTATCTTTTAGGAGTATACCCTACATAGCCATTTTTACGTTTTCACAAAAGCTTTGGTTTGAACAGACAAAAAACAGGCTATTAAGGCTGATATTAGCAGCCAAACCAGCTGAAAGTAAGGTTGTCATTTCGTCATCAGCAGACAATGCTATCATGAACAAGTCTGACAGGCAATACTTAAAACAGCTCATAAAAACTTTTATAAGAAAAATCATGAGACCAGATTAAAAAAAAAAGCCCAACTATCCTATATCAAAATATCCTTCAGTAATTTCTATGTAGTGCCCTCAGCCCAATGATTATGAGATTCATACCTGGAAGAAGTATGACTGGAAAGGCTGATCCTTGTTCTCGTCATCCACATAAAGGCCTCCAACAACACAGACCTGATTCTGTTTGGTGACTATGCTGGAATGATTTCTGGGAATCTGTTCTGCCAGGGCTGCCAGGTAACACTCATTCTCCAGGGGATCATAAGCCACCGCAGCTGTATCATTGACTAGAAGAATTAGGTCTTTCACAAACATGCCATGCCTAGGAATGTCATTTAGGTATCCAGGGAGTAAGTCTTCATCCCCTACATCACCATTTACTTCCCCTTTCCCTGATTTTTCTGAGCTTTTGGCAGGTTCAGGCAATTTTCCAGCAAAGGCATCCTTAATAACCTTGAGTTTTTTGTGAAGATCTGAGTTGCTTTTCATAATATCATCCTTCTCAACATGCTCTTTAAAGTATTTTTCTGACATAAGACGGAAACGAATGCAGTCAAAAACTTCTCCCAGGTTCTTTACTCTGTTCTCCTTGTCTGTTTGGACCCACTCCATTACTGCTTCAAACACTACTTCCTCTTTTTCGACATTTAAGCTGTCAGGTGAAATAACTGATATAAGTTCATGGGGGGCAAGCTGCATGAAGTCTTCTTCTTTGCAAATCTGCACAAAGTGGTCTGACACATAATCACGAGCAGAGAAAGCAAGTCTTGGGCAGTCAAGGAGGAGACCTAATCGAAGGATGGCAAGACAGTTACCAACAGCCAGTCTCTTCTGAAGATAAGAGACACACACAGTGAATACAGAAGGGATTTGAAAACGGCTGGCCAAAGCAAAAATATCTTGCACATTAGAATCATTGAGGTCAATACTTGCAGAATAAAGATACTTGATGATCATGTCCAAGATGTTGGGATCAACATCATCTAGAACGACCTCCTTCTTCTTATCTTCACTTTGCTCAGATAAGAAATACTCACGGAAATAAGGACTACAAGCTGACAGAATCAATCTGTGGCATGGTAGGCTTTTGTTACCAGCTTTTAGGGAGCAATCTACAAACTTTTTCTCTTCAAAGAGTTCCTTGAGGCCATCCTGAAGAAGGGTGGATTGATAAAGTCTAAGTTCTTCAGTGAGTTCCCTTTGGGAATCCATTTTGTGAGTAACTTGGGTTGGGGGGAGGCACTGAAAATGTTAGCTGTTGTCGGCACCAAGGTCTGTCTGTAAAAAAGGCAGATCAATGTGCTTTCCCCAGCCTGAAGCCTCTGCAATTTAATCCTGCCAGCTAAATATAGGTACATACACTTACAAGCTGGAATTTAGAATGGTCGGTGTGAAGAGAAAAGTTGTGCTTGCAGCTGTCAGACTGAAAGAAACAACTGTTGCTTTTAGTCACCGGGGCTTCATTTTGCCATCATTACATAGACTCATTCAGACTACCTGCAAAGTATGGGATTACTCAACATGAATAAGGGTCACAGAATCCAGCCCTTAATGAAACAAATATGAACCAGGAGTCAAATATATCTTTTGAAATAGAAGTATTATGAGCAACGGCTAAAGGTGGCAGCTGGATAACTATTCATAGTGGATTCATAGCAAGACATTTTAGAGAGACTTCCAGAAACAGTCAGGACACATTGCTCATTGGACACATTGCTCATTAAACTGAATTTTACTGAAGCATGAATCAGAGACATGACCCTGACCCAAAAATAAATAAATACAAACTTTGTATCAGTTACCTTTTTGTTAGGTTTAATATGCCCCAGCATCAGAGGGAAAAAAAATCTCTAGATCTGTAATAAAATATTCTAGTTTCACACTGGATTTTAATTTTATGTCATTTGTTTGCAAACTAAAAATTCTCTGTTATTATATTAAATGCAAACTCACCAAGTTAAATTGCATAAATAATAATGAATACACTATACTCTCCCCCATATTATTTAAGTTTCATTTTAGGAAAATTTGGAAATTGGTATTAGTAAAGGTATATATATTCTGTTAAACTAAAATGAACATAGTAGGTAGAAAAGAAAATTAAAGAAAATTCCACTACACAGAAGTTCCCTAATAAATAACAATTATTACCAAACTAAAAATTGAGCTAGAGGTATTTGTCCGTATTAACCAAATAAACTCTGTGAATAGTTAAAATAAGTTTAGAAGTGAGTTTAGAAATTGCACACAAATGAGTAATCATATCATGATTATACACCTAAGTAAAAAAAATCAAAATTAAAACAAGGACTGCTTAGGTCTTTATTAAACCTAGTTACATAGAAGTTGAACAACTTATATGTCAAAGGGATTGTGACCTTGTCATAGAAATCAATGGCAAAACACTAATTAACACCAATGGTATAGTACAAGTTTGCATACTACTTTACAATTCAGTGTTTGCTGCTTGACAGAACGTTTTTAAAGCTTATTAAAATCTTTAAAAATAAATAAATTCAATATTACTTAGGAACATTTTTACAATATTTAACAGGCTTTTCTTCCTTTCCGTACCACAGTTAAGTCACTGGTGCAGTCAGCTGCTAAAACAACAGCTGAAAGGATAGCTCATTTGACTTTTTCCATTTTTAGAAAATAGTACATAAGGTCTTATCTCACTAGAAAACATAACAGCTGCATCTCCCTTTTAAACAATAAATGACTCATTTCTCTGCATGGAATACATAACAGTTTAAATGTCTGATGTGTCAGATGCAAAAGCAATGTAGTACATGATTCTTTCCAGATTATCCTGCTTAAAAACAAAAGCCAATAAACATATCAGTATTTTGACAAAAAACGAATGAACAAACCCTGTCTTGGAATATTTAGATAAGAACATGTACCAGGCAGGATGTCTGGTACATACTCTATTAAGTTCTATGATATGAAAGCTAACAGATACCTGCAATAATACAGTATTTTGTCAAAATGTTATCAGTATACTACGAAAATGATGCAACTATTTCATCTAAATACAGTATTTTACACTCAGTAATAAAACCTCTCACTTGTTATTCTCTTAACTAACATTAAGAACATATGATGAAAGAGCCTACGGAAATATTATTTGGATGCACATATTATGGATGAGTACATTTATTTTGTATAAACAAGTGAATAATTTAAATGAAACAAAAACTGCACAAATGAAAGCAAAACAATAAATACAATTATATTACAAACATATAATCTGTTTCTACTATTCCTTTAAAAAACAAACAAACAAACAAACCTGACTACATAGTATATTTACTGTTCCCTGTCTTTGATACATTTGATGTTACTAAAATAGTTTCAATGATATGATAAAGATCTGCTGGGAACATAATGACTAATACATGTTTTCAATGCTTTATTGAAATCAACCCATTACTTCCCAGAGTCCTTGCAGAGTGAAACCATCCTTCAATTTTTCTATTGCAAGTCCCAATTCTTCTGAAAATACAGGTTCCCGATCCTGTTGCTGGGTTTTTTTTGAAGTGAGACAGATAGAAAAGAGCAAGAGGAAGACCAACAAAAAAGTTAAGTATAATTTAATGTCTAAAAATACATACAATACAGAAATACAACAATGTTGAAACAATGTTCAATTTATAGTACTAGGAAACTGTTCTTACCTTGTTACCATCAGCAAAGTAAGCCTATAGAAAGAGAGGAAGAGTGTAACAAAACTCCAAAAAGGATTCATAATTGCTTTTAAACAACACCTTAGCCATAAATCAGAAAATGCAGGTTTCTCAGTTCTATTAACAACCCTCCAATTTAAAATACACTTTATTTTTAAACAAAATACCTTCTGTAGAAAACAGTATTTCTATTGGATATACCAGTGCATTTAGAAAAATCTTTTATTTTCATTTTATTAATATGACCAGATATTCACTCTCTATTGAAATCAACGATGCAAAGCTTGAACCAGGGAATAGTTGACTAATATTAACAGGAAATAATCTATATCCATAATTTTTCCACTATATTATTTGTAACAAAACTTTCTTTTTATTTATGTCCTAATGAAGTTTGTCACAAAATTTGAAAGAAATATTATTTTATGAACAGACAATGTTAAAGTGGAGACAGTGCTGATAACATACAGTTCCTTCCTACTATATGTGCAGGGTAGTTACATATGAAAAAGGGTAAAAGATAATAGCTTTATTGGTAACATTGCAGTTTCACCAAAGGTCATTTGTGATGATTTATATTTTGGCAGCTTTTGTAAGAAACA